CCTCGGCCTTCCAAAGTGCTGGGATTAAAGGTGTGAGCCACCGTGCTCGGCCTGGAAGTTAGAATTTTAAATACCAGCCCTTTTTCACCCTCAAAAATTACTTTGAGTGGTAGTTTCTTTTGTTACAAACGCTGATTGCCTGTTCACATCACAGTATCTTAAGTTAGAGCTTTATTCCTTAACACTTTAAAGTATTAGATCATAGGTTTAATTCTCATTTTAGAATCTATTTCCATTTCTTCAGTTGTTGTGGATTTATTGAACTGTCAGTAAGGTGGATAAGTCCTCATTCACCTAAACTGACTAGACTCAGACATGCAGTCACTGTCCCAGAGCCCAAACAAGGCCTTTCCTTCCTAGAGAAATGTGTACTTTATTTCTTCCAGGTGTCAAGTTACATCAAAGAGCAAACTCAAGACCACTTTCAGATGATAGTCATCTCCCTAAAAGAAGAATTCTATTCCAGAGCCGATGCACTAATCGGCATCTATCCCGAGGTAAAGATAAATTAGAGGGGAGAGGGGTGTATCCACTGTCAACTCCCCTTAGTACCCTGACATCCACCGGGCTTTCCTTTTATAATTAAAACTTCCCAATAGAGTCTGAGGCTTAAATGATTTTTTTAATCAAGTAAGATTAAAAGTAACTACTGGTGTTTTCCTTGACACACACACATATATATATATGAATTTTTTTTTTCCTGTAAGGCGTTTAAGTGTGCATGATAGTGACAATATATATATTTTAAGTGGAAAAAAGCAAAGAGAATTGCAGAACAGTAAGTAGGATAGTTTTGTTTTGTGAAATAGTCTGTTAATTTACATAAACTATTATACTTCTTATTTCTGTAATATTTCAGTGTTTTAAGCAAAAACGAATTGTACGGTGATAGAGCAAGGAACCATTTATCCTCCAAAAGTATCAGAGGACAAAACAAATTCATTAGAAGTTCCAAGTTGTATAGTAACTTCTTTTTTTTTTTGAGACGGAGTTTCGCTCTTATTACCCAGGCTGGAGTGCAATGGCGCGATCTCGGCTCACCGCAACCTCCGCCTCCTGGGTTCAGGCAATTCTCCTGCCTCAGCCTCCTGAGTAGCTGGGATTACAGGCACGNGCGATCTCGGCTCACCGCAACCTCCGCCTCCTGGGTTCAGGCAATTCTCCTGCCTCAGCCTCCTGAGTAGCTGGGATTACAGGCACGCACCACCATGCCCAGCTAATTTTTTGTATTTTTGGTAGAGACGGGGTTTCACCATGTTGACCAGGACGGTCTCGATCTCTTGACCTCGTGATCCACCCGCCTCGGCCTCCCAAAGTGCTGGGATTACAGGCTTGAGCCACCGCGCCCGGCTATAGTAACTTCTAAAACGTGAACACACCTTTCTTAAGCCATTGAAAATACTAACGTGAACTGATGGAGTAGAGCAACTAGTTCAGTAGAGCACACTAGTTGAGGTCACTTGGTTTTGGACGGTTGTTAGGATTTACTTCCTGCATTTTCTTTTAAGCAAAGATAAAAATTAAGTTACCTTCTTGTGTCTACAGAATGTTAGGGGACCACCTGGAAATATAATGCATGAATAATGGAAATTCTCATACCAGACAGTAACAGAAAACCCACAACTGACGTAAATGCAGATGATGCCTTTTTAGGTTTAAGAAGATGCCTTTTGAATGCAATTCTAGACTCACTAATGGCTCCTATTTGACGTTAATAATACTTTTTCCCTAATTAGGGAAACTTTTAACTGTCTTCTCTCCATTTTAGTACGACGACTGCATGTTCAGCCGAATTTTGACCCTAGATCTTGCCCAGTATCCAGACACTGAAGGCCAAGAAAGCAGCAAGAGACACCAAGAGTCCCTCTAGGGGCAGTCTTGCGGTGGCGGCCCGATCACTGTTCATTTCCCACTCCAATACACAAACAGCTCCTCCACAGCAGACTTCTGGAGCAAGCAGGACCAGCCTGGGAGCCCCTTAAGAGAAATCTTAGTAGTTCTAGCCAGAGAGGCTGTAGCTCACCTCATTTGAGTGTTCATACCCCATTCTAGTGGGGAGTTTTCAGTGAGAGCTGGTGTTCAATGAGTTTTAAAAAAGAGAAAAGATAGAATTTGTACTATAATGCTAGCTTCTATTTTGAAATAAGCTAGTCTGGTTGGAAAAATTTTGAATTCTGCTTCATCTTCACTCTGATCTTGCCTTGTACCCAAGTAATCTTTAAGGGAGCCACTCTTGGGTTTTAAATATATTAGTTATAAGATTGTTAATAAACTTCGGAAGCTGGATTTTGGGAAATTTTTCAGAGAAACTATGTTAGTATTGAAAATAACAATAAAAAATGTTCTAATTTCCAATTCAAAAAATTCTCCAATGTAGAATTTTTGAAGCCAAAAAAAGTTTAATGGTGAAACTGAATGATGTCTGTTTCAATGCAATTTGAATTTTTCTGAATAGAATTTCAGTTAAGGAAATAAGAACAGTTTCTCGTGACAACTGACAATCTCCACTTAAAAACATTATTATGTGAAGGAAAGTTGCACTTTCAGTACATTTCCATTTCAAAATGAAAAAAGGCTGGGCATGGTGGCTCATACCTGTAATCCCAGCACTTTGGGAGGCTGAGGTGGGTGGACTGCTTGGGCTTAGGAGATCAAGACTACCCTGGCCAACATGGTGAAACCCCGTCTCTACTAAAAATATAAAAATTAGCTTGGCATGGCGGCGCACGCCTATAGTCCCAGCTACTCAGGAGCCTGAGGCAGAAGAATTGCTTGAACCCAGGAGGCAGAGGTTGCAGTGAGCTGAGACTGCACCACTGTACTGAGTAAAAGTATCTGTTTGACAACACTTTCATGTAACAAGAAGAATGTACTCTGTGAGGGGGATATTACATCTCAAAAAGATTGGGTTCCTTCCCTGAGGGGACTTCCAGTACAATGAGATAGCTGACCTCCATGAGCTGCAGACAGCAGAAGGCACTTTAACTTGTCCCCTGTTCTTGCTCTATTGCCCAGGCTGGAGTACATTGGCACAATCTCGGCTCACTGCAACCTCTGCCTCCCGGGTTCAAGTAATTCTTCTGCCTCAGGCTCCTGAGTAGCTGGGTCTACAGGTGTGCGCCACCATGCCAGGCCAATTTTTACATTTTTAGTAGAGACGGGGTTTCACCATGTTGGCCAGGCCAATCTCAAACCCCTGACCTCAAGTAATCCACGCACATCAGCCTGCCAAAGTGCTGGGATTACAGGTATGAGCTACCATGCCCTGCCTTAAAATGTAACCATTTTAAAACGTAATAGCTCTTCTAGCTTGAGGCAGTAAACAGCAGGGCCAATTTTGTTGTCTCCTGATGTGATGTTTCCCACTGACTCAACTATACACAAGTGCCTTATTGGAGTTGCCTCTAATCTATCAATTGCATTGGAATAAACTTACATTCTGTAACGAGCATACAACAGAACGAACTATAGATGCATCCGTGTGGTACAGCAACATGGCTGCGTCCTCCAGCAGAGCACGCAAAGCTTTTCTTAAAATGCGCTGTAACAAGCATTCCATCCCAGTGCACAGCATCCTCTATGCTTGTAATTTTGCTATACCCTGTGTCTGGCCAGCTCTCAGATTCAGATATTCCCTGATTGCAGAAAAAAAAATCATTTATGTTTTCTGTTTAAAACATTTAAACACATTCAAGTACACATTAAATTGATTTCACATTTGGGTGGCAACTCGAGCTAAAAATTCTCATTAAATACATTCTAGCAAGCCTTGGCGTAACTGAAACACTGAGCACACAGGGTTGAAGTTATCATTTTATTTATGGCCGGAGTGGCATAAAAGATGCGTTTTCCATGCATCAAAAAGAAAAAAAAGCCTTTGGCAGGTCTCTGGGCTCTGTCCCTCTGTATGCATCCCGTCCTTCTGTTTCCTGTTCTTAACCTTCTCTGTACCCGTGGGAGTCATCAATGAGGAGTATCACAGGGCTTGGTAAGAAATGCCACATTGAAGTGGCCTCAGACTGAAACCAAGCAGGGCTGCTTGTTTCCAAATAGTGCCACTCATGCATCACCACGGAAGCTCTGCCAGGTCAGTCAGGGAAGCTCCCTAGGCACCAGCAGAGTGCGCAGCACAGCTGTTTCATGTGAGTGAACCCTGAAAAGGTTTAAAGTGTTGCAGGCCCCTTTCAAGTTTTGCCTCCCTCACTGTGCAAACTCCCTTGATATGGGCCATGGAAGAGAAGTTTAAGAAATAATAACAGAAAGACTGCATCTTACCCCAGCGAATAAAGACTTGCAAAGCTTGGAATTTACAACGTTTGAAACCTGGTCTTGTGCATCACTTGCGCTGTCCTGGTTGTCAGTCCCGCAGTGGCCCTGCATAATGCTGGCCTGAACTCTGAAAAGGGGCCTCCAGCTCTTCCGATTTCACAGTTCTTAGCAACATCAGACCTGTGTTTCTTTGGAACATAAGTTACTAAAACGACCTAATTCCAAAGAAGCCCTTTTGATTCAGGTGTTCTTTCTAAAAACATACCATTTTCACGAGTGGATTCATTCTTTACAACTTAACAGTGGAACAAACATACCTTTAAAATGTTTTCTATAGTAACGTTTTCACATCGAAATTATAAAACGTGTCTATTTCGCCAGCGCAGTGGCTCATGCCTATATTCCCAGCACTTTGGGAGGCTGAGGCGGGCAGATCATCTGAGGTCAAGTTCAAGACCAGCCTGGCCAACATGGTGAAACTCTTGTCTCTACCAAAAATACAAAAATTAGCTAGGCGTGGTGGCAGACGCCTGTAATCTCGGCTACTCAGGAGACGGAAGCCTGAGAATCACTTGAGCCCAGGAGGTGGAAGTTGCAGTGAGCCAAGATCACGCCACTGCACCCCAGCCTGGGCGAAAGAGCAAGACTCCGTCTCAAAAAAAAAAAAAAAAAAAAAAAAAAAAAAAACATATATATATATATATATATATACACACATATACACATACACACACACACACACACACATACATATATATATAATTTTTTTTTTCCCCTTATTTTCTCTTTGGTAACTACTATTGCCTGGACAGTCTTTACTCTCCCCTTTTATTAGGAAAAAGTGAGCCTGTCAGATGGGAACGGGAACACCAGTTTCCACCCCTTCCCACTGATTCTGGCCCCTGAGGTAGCTGTCCATCAGTCCTCACAAAGTCCACCTGAAGTGTGCCCGTGTCACCTCCTGCACGGTTCAACACACGGGAGCCCTCTCACCCAGCCCTGAGGGCCACACACCCAAGTGGCTCTCTTGGTGTATGTGACTGTTTCGCAGTCGGAGATCCACGTGGAGTTCTCCGTACATTCCTCTTGGTTTGGGCATGGCACTGTGGTTACAGAAGGCTGGTTTTCAAGTTGCAAGTTTTACTGGTTTTAAGTATTTCAAGACCCTCCAGCATCATCTGTTTAAATAAAAGAACAAAATTCCAAAGGGTTAAAGTCCAGCTAAAAAGTTATTTACAGATTTCTATTTCAGAAACTGCTTTTACAGTTGTTCTTATGTGCTGAAGACTGAAAATCCCTCTAAAATGGAAACAGTAGCCGCTATTTGGAAATGGCCTTGTGTAATTATCAATACTATCAGGGGATCAAGTAAGTGATGACATTACATTTGCAAATATCTGTGGGAATTTCGATCCTTGAACATGGATGCTCTTTTCTTAGTGGATCTGACGATGCGGCAGTTTCAACAAACATACAGTGAGAGAGCCTGTTGAAATAGGAAGAATGAGCTGTCGACTCCTCTGGGCTCTCCAGGCTTGGCTTCTCTCTCTCACAAGCAGGACAGGCCAAGGCTTTCTGTACAACACAGGCCAGGGGCTTCGCCCTAAGGAGACATGACTGCCTGGGGAGAGCTGGGGCTGCAGGTGCAGGTGATGGCGTCTAGGAGCACAGATCTCACAGGCACTGAAGACAACACCTGCCCAGTGCTCTGTAGCAAAGTCTACCAGGCAGGAGGCCCTGCACCTGATGTGCACACCAGTCAGAGGTAGGCCACAGGGGAACAAAATCTACGTACACACAAGAGAAGAAAGCCAATCTACGGAGGAAAATCGCCTGGGCCTTCGTTCTTGTCAGCAGGCACTAGAGAAGCCCAGATAAGCAGAAAACAAAAGAAGGAGCATGAAAGATAGCAGTGGTAAAGAACCACCTTCCCCAGAGGAAACAATTCACAGAACACCAGTTTTGTGTTTTGTTTTTACTTAGTTACGGATGGTTCTACTAGCTGAACTCACAATCCAAATATTTGCAAAAAGATTGCAAACAATTTGATCCAAAACACTATCAAAATCGAATTCTCTAAAACGTGTGTGCCCCTAAGAGCACTTGAAGTTGTATAAAACTTTTTTTTTTTTTTTTACATGGAGTCTCACTCTGTCACCCAGGCTGGAGAGTGCACTGGTGTGATCTCAGCTCACTGCAACCTCCGCCTCCCTGCTTCAAGTGATGCCCCTTCTTCAGTCTCCCAAGCAGCTGGGACTACAGGTGTGTGCTACCACGCCTGGCAATTTTTGTATTTTTAGTAGAGACGGGGTTTCACCACATTGGCCAGGCTGGTCTCAAACTCCTGACCTCAGGTGATCTGCCTGCCTCGGCCTCCTGAAGTGCTGGGATTACAGGCATGAGCCACCGCGCCTGAGTGAAGTTGTATAAAACTAAACGAGAGGATGCCAAGTCTGCGACAGCTGCCCCTCACAGGACCACACCAGCTCACTCTCACCTTCCCTGCCCCTGGACGGCAGGACGCTGTGGCACCCCCACCCCCTGCCGCCAGCCCTCCTTGCGCTGTGATTCACTCTGAAAATGGCCCTTTTAGAACCGCCTTATTTTTTTCAACTAAGTTTGCATTCACTATGAATCTTTATAACATGCGCTGTTGCACATGACCCCTGTGGTGTTGAAGGGCATGCAGGGACACAATACTGCTCCAACACACCCACTGAAGGATTTCAATGTTCAATGAAGAGGTAATTGATTAAGCTGGACGCTTCACAGCTCTCAGAAATTTTTGGTGGACTGCTATATAGGTATTTAAGAGTGTTTTACCTGGGTTTACTTATATAATAAAATATAAACTCCTATTGTATGAAAATCCTCTCTCCCAACGTTTTCAGGAATGTAGCGGGATCAGACAAGCAGGTTGACTTCTGTCTCAAGAGTTCTCACAGCCAAAGAAAGCAGATGCTGGGAAAGGGTAACTAAGAAAATAAGAACTCTCAGAAACAAGATCACAGGCAAAGGAGAAATTTAACCCAAGGACTAGCATCATTTGAGAATCCCCAGGAAGTGTGAGAAAATGAATATTAAGAGACATCAGAGAAAATTTACAAGACAGTGGAAATCAATCCAGGAGATCCCAGGTAGTATGACTTCCAGAAAGGGAGAATAGAGAAGATAGAAAGAAAGGAGAGAATCACAGACTATTCCAGGAGAAATGGAAGAAGAAAGAGAACACCTGAGTAAGGCAGGTAAAAAAGATTTCCACACTCATCCTCATTGAGTATCTAAACATCAGGGAAAAGAAGATCCTAAAAACTCCCAGGAAAAAAAGGAATAGGCATCTTCAAACTACTGGGAACCAGGTTCCCATCAGACCCTCTTCACAGGAAACCTGGTCTTCAGACAGTGGAGTCCAGGGAAATCATACCCAAGAATCCCAAGCCAAAACCACCGACGGGCACGAGGACAGCACAGACGCCTGCAGACACGCGGTGCTCAAGAGGCGACGCCACACCTGGGTCTGCAGAAGCGGCTTCAGGAGGCACTAGCAGTATGGACTGGGAGAAGGGAGGGCAAGAATAAGGAAGACCTGGGCCTCCATCTCAAGGAAGCAGGGAAGCTCGGGAGGCAGGCACGTGACAGTCCCGCAGCAGCCGACCAGGAGGAGGTGTCTGGGAGATGCAGGCTGGCAGGATGAAGAGAATGGACATATTTTTAAAAACTTTTCATATTCAGTTCTGAAAGCTAAGGGAATGTATACATTTAAGAATATTGGGGGCCGGGCGCGGTGGCTCAAGCCTGTAATCCCAGCACTTTGGGAGGCCGAGGCGGGTGGATCACGAGGTCAAGAGATCGAGACCATCCTGGTCAACACGGTGAAACCCCG